TCAAGGCTTAAGGTTTAGGGTTTAGGGGTCAGGGCTTGAGGTCTAGGGTTTAGGGATCAGGGCTTAAGATCTAAAACTTAGTGCAACTTAGGGACGAGGGCTTGACATGATTTGGGGCTCCTCGTGTTTTACGTTCAGGATGCAGGACTTCAACTTCATGGGGTCGTCCCTGCAGATGATCCCTGGAGCTCATCGTCATCCCCAGAATACGTCCCGTTGGGCTTCCTTTCCACCCTAACGTAAAACCTTGAAGCCTAGACCGCACAGACCCGAACTCCACGTCCTGAACTCTGAACCCACAACTTTGTCGTAGGGGTTGTGCTTGTGGCGTTACCCATGGGCTCCATAGTAGTTCCTTTGAGGGATTACCTTGTAGGATCCTAGATACAAACCACAAAAAGGAACTACTTATGGCGCCTATGGGTATAGGAGTTTAAAGAGACACAGAGGATGTTCCGGGGCTTTACGTTTTGGGTCCTCAGGATTTCGGGGTGTTGGATGCTCAGCTGTCTCATCTCATGCGGTCTCTACTTCAGGGGCTTATGGCGTTGGCATGCTTTAAAGCAGTTTGGGGCTTATGGTGTCGGGTTTGCCAATCAGAGTCCGAGGGTTCAGGTGGCTTTCAAAAATGCATTCGACGCGATGTTTTGAGTCTCCCCGGCTGAAAAAAACAGAATCGTTAAGATTACTATAGATGCTATGCCGTGAAACCCAAAACCGTAGCCGTAAGCCTTAATCCAAGACTCTGTGCGTCACCGACTCCCCTCCATGGTTTATGGTTTCCGATGTTCAAGAATCCCCAAACCCTGACCACGCCGCCCAAAAGCCTCAACAGAAACTTAACCCCAACCCCTTCTCAGAGCTGGCACAACTCTGAAACCCTCAACCCTAGAAACTAAGAACACTGCTATTCCTGAAGGAACGAAAGCCTACAAAGCCTGAAATGCGGAAAATGGTACATGCCACCGCTCCCATCACCGAGAAGTCCGATTCTACACCCTATAGACCCTAACCCTGAACCCTAATCTGTGAACCAAGCCACACTCCGAGAAGGATTAGAAGCAAGATCTCCAACGAGTCCTCTGCAGCTTCTGTACTTTCGGGCTTTGGTAAGTAGACTACTCTAGGGATTGTATAAAATTGCACCGAGGACTCTAGAAAAGATTAGAATTTTAGTGTACAGGGCCTTCATGAATAGACTCGAGTTGGGGACACATTTTAGTGCGGGTATATCGGTATAAAGTGGCAGAGCAAGAGGGGCACTGGGCTAAAGGTTTGTACTACTCATTCAGCCTTCTCTATGTTGCTTTCGATGTTGTGCTGTGTTCTGGTGCTTCAGTTGGATCTGCCCTCGGTTTACCAAATTTTCTAATTGGGTGTCTTAACGCTTTCACATCGTAGTCGGGATTTCAGCACGGGATTGAGGTTTCAGGGTTTTAGAAAGGCAAAGGGCGGCTCGGTTCCGGGTTTTTTAGAGTTTGGGGTGCTTGGGCTTAGGATTCACTTGCAACTCATAAGCCTCGCATCTCTTTCAGTACTCTACCCTCAATAGGCTAGCTCTGTATACAGTGTTAGTAGAAGGGAGTCTTCTAGCTAGTGCTTGGTATATTTGGCAGCCTATGGAAGCCCTAATATCCCCAAGAACCTACGCCCAAACCTTGCAACCGAACCGGCAACAACACAAAGCCCTAAATGGTAAGAGCAACAGCAATGTTCACGAACACTCATCATATCAGGGATAGGGCGGAGAGGGTTCAGAGCCTCAGCTTCTTGCAAAACCTTTCACTGAAGCAACTTGTATCAAACCCTGAAGGTTCCCGTTTTATCCGTCTTGACATAAACCCTAAGCCCCTAAACCCTAAACCCCTAAACCCTAAATCCCTAAACCCTAAACCCTAAACCCCCCGTTTTGACATTAAACTTGTCGGTGTCCTTGGCGTAAGTGAAATGGATGGTGCCCGGGTCGATGCCGGGAAGTCCGGGCACCCAGCTTGGAACGTTTGCGTTGTCCTTGGATAGCGGTTTAGGGTTTAGGGTTTAGGGCCTTATTATGATTTCAAATTTCTGTATATAAAACCTTAAAAAGGTAGGTTCTTTGGGGTCCGCGGTAAGGCTTGCATTGACCTTGTGGCATGGGCGGTCATGACTTAGGGCGTGAGGGCCCTGGGATGACTTCGGTCCCAGTGGATGCAAAGAATCATCTAACTAGCTAGGGTTTGGGGACACATGGGGGAGGGGGGGGGCGGTGGTGGTGGTGTTCATATTGACGTCTAATGAGTCTAACGTGTCTAATACTTCAGGTTACTAAGACTCTTAAGACCCCGACTTAGAGCTCTAGCTGACAGTTCCCTACTTTTGCGCCTGGAGATGTGAGGTTTAAGGATCAGGGCCAGCACGTCAGAGGTCTTCAGTTCAGGCCGTACATTGTCTAGGATTTCAGGGTTCAGGGTTCAAGAGCGCTTCAGGAAATGAAGGGACCCGAATAGTGAAGACTCAGTGAAGACCCTGCACTTCCTTTTTAGGGTTTGGGGTTTACACATTACTAAATTACCTCTCATTGAGGGATGCGCAAGGCTCTCACACCACGGGCCTTTTAACCTCAGGGCTTTAACAAATAATTTGTTAAGGCAGGCGACGACAAACTTGGACAAGCAAATATAGGTTAGGACAACAGTTAACAAGCAAAGGCCAGTGAAGACGAGGCATTCACAACACATGCCAAATCAAGTCATTGATCATTGATTAAAACAGAACTCGCTGAAATTAAATCGGGGCTTCTAAAGCTTTGTAAGGCCGCACAAAACGCAAGAGACAGTAAGCATCGATAAACAGCAAGGCACGTAACAAACTGTTTGACTGGATTTGCAAGGGCCTTAAACTTAAATTAACCAGCTATAAACGAAGAGTCAGAACAAAAAACATAAAATGAAATGATACCCCCTAAAGATCAATGCTTTTCTGGTTGTTTCTATGTTTCTGTGGCTCGGAATTATATGCCAAGTACTGTATAGAGATCCCGAACTCTTGCAGTAACATCGCAATGTTGCACCGAACTGAGATTTGGTGCTCTATATGTGCTTTTGAGCTAAGAGCCCTGAGGGTTTAAGGCCCGTGGCTTCAGAGCGCTGCACAAGGTTAGATAGGGATAGAATGCCCCCCCCCCCCCCAAAGGGGAATTGGACCCCTATATTTAAGAACCTCCTGCTGCCTAAAATCCTAAAGCCCTCAACCCGAAATTCCCCCTTTGTATCAGATGGATCTCGAAGGGCTGCTCGCCCTTGTCGCCTTCTGCCGCAGCCATGAGGGAGGCTACCAGTAGCAAAGCCCGTGCCATGGCGAAAACGGACACGGTTCAGGGTTTTAGGGTTTAGGGTTTTCCCGATGAGGGTTGAGGCTGTGTGGGGGCTAGCATTAGCGCTTTCAACATTGTCGTCTATGGCTCTCCCCATAGGCCCCTAAGTAGTTCCTTTTTGGGATTACTTTATACGGTTCTAAATATAAACCATAAAAAGGAACTACTTAGGGGCCTATCGGTCGTTGTAAGAATTCTAAGATAAGGATTCTGAATGTGGTGGGAGCATGCTCCACGCAGGCTCACAGAGTTGATCAGCCTAGCATCGCGATAAGAAATAACTGTAAACCCTAAACCCCAAACCCTAAACCCCTAAGCCCTACACCCTGAAACCCCTAAACAGTGGCGGGTTTTCTACCAGAAAGGTTTGACCAACAATCCTCAACCTCCCACGCAGTGTGTACTGCAAGGTGTAAGCCTTACAAGGCATGCTGCGTTCGGTAAGGCCGGCCAGATCTATGATCAAAGCCCCGCACGAGATAAGAATCAACAACAAAAACAGAACCCCTAAACCCCTGAACCTTAAACCCCATACCCTAAAACCCTAAACCCCGAAACCCTAAACCCTAACTCCCTGGACACTAAACCGATAAGAATAAACAACAAAACAGGCATGCGTTCAATTCCGCTGCCTGCGCCGCCTGCCGCTCGCCACGTGCGGAGGGAAGTGTCCAATCGATATCGTGAGGCCTCTAAAGGACTTAGGGACTCAGGGTTTAGGGTTTTAGGGCTTATAGGACTTAGGGTTTGGGGACTTACCTGGAGCCTCAAACGTCATACTTATTTCCTCTCGGCCTGGGTTTGTCATACTTTTCCTCCAAAACGTAGGGTTTTATGAGATCGGGTACTTTTGTGTTAATCCGTACACTTTTCGATTTTAGGGCTCTTCACGGGCTTCTATCATGACTTCGACAGTTTTGGGGGCCTGACAATAGCATTTCTTGGCTCGATACCGAAACATACATGTATGATCCTCTCGGCGACTGCACGTGCGCCCTCCCCTGTGTATGTGTGTGCATTCGTACCACCATGTAGAGGTAGAAGTGGTTGTAGTTCTCCTTGGGCGATCAACAGGTACTGTGCATGGCGGGCTGCAATCTTTCGAAGATTGAGTACGGGAAGGACTGCAAGCCCTTGCATTTTGCCCCTATCCCGAAGCTTGCAAGTTGCTGAAGAATGTGACTGCATGTGCTCTGTATATGTATGTGTGCTCAAGGTGTCACTGGTTGAACCTTGAACTCAGCAGGATGCTTGTGCAGCTACACATATATAATGGCAGCAGCGTTGCATGAACCATATTGCATGCATGCTTTCTCGTGTTACATTCACATACAAATCCGAGCGCTGATCCGCTAGTTGACTTGAACACGATGGCCGACTCAGCCGCAGAGCCTGAAGTGAAGCCTTGTGCGGTGCTATCATCATGGGAGGGCAACAAAACTGCGATGAACCGTTTGATGCAGGGCTGTTTGGTGCATTTGCCCCCAGACACGACAAAAATCAAACGAGAGCACCTCACCGAGAACGTCGAGCTTCTCGGGCCCTTGATAAAACAGCTTGGACCCTTGGCTAGATTAAACGTACTGCTCTACTTCAGCTACAGATTAATATTGGACTCTGGCTGTCTGTGACTCTTCAAGGCTTGCGAATGTCCGTCCACGTGATTGCGGAGTATTTCAAGAGGTTCTATGTTGGCTACAGGCCGATGAATCTTCGCATGCCAACGAGCAACTAACCTACATCCAGCTGATCCATGTGCAAGCTAGGAGTACATATGTTCGAGATTCGGGAGCATCGTGAATTTATGTGCCCACCCCAGGCCATGAGATCCAGACGCAGGCGTGGATGGCCAGGCGTTTGATTACATGCTTTTCCCAGCTCGCGAAGCGCCCTCACGAGCCCCGTCAAGACGGGGTCCGTCGACTGTTCAAATGCTCGGGGATTCCTATTCCATCGTCCCGCCCCTTTGATTAAACCTGCATCATGCATGCACATGATATCTAGTCAAAAGATCACACATGTCTGGAGCATGAGCTGAGGTGGCTCAGCTGCTGCAGATGATGAAGAGGATGACGACGAGTATGATGAAGCAGCTGAGTCTGAAGCTGCAATGGAAGATGATGAATTTGTGGAGGTAGGAGAGGAAGAGGAGCCCATCACTGGTGGCTCGAGCTCTGCAAATCCTGTGCCCATGGAAGCCCCTCAGCTAGTTGAAGGCTCCGTGCATATACATGTACGTGTGTACCAGAGTTCACACATGCATGCATACCATGCATACCTAAGGTGGGGAAGCCTGACATGGATGTCAACATGGAGCCCACGAGACCTGTGCCTTGCTGCAACCATACAGCCCGAGCCCATATTATGTATATAGCTAGCTATGATCGCCGAGGTGATCACCGATGATGTGGTACCCACGACCGGGGAAGCCACCCACCCCCCGGAGCCCGTGCCGACGACCGGTGCAGCCACGAGCCCTCCGAAGCCTGTGCCTTTGGAACCATGCCTGCAAGTATCATGCATCAGCCCTAATGCAATTACATGTGGTCGATGATTGAGCAGCTGGATGCCTGGTCACTACCGAGGCTGCTTCAACTATTAATGATCTTCCAGTACCAGCTGTCAGCAAGCCTCGTGACCTGCTTGAATTAACATAAAACGTACCTGAGCTCTCAACCCTAAGCCCACTTACTCGCGAAGCCTTAAACCCCCTAAAACCTAAACCCCAAACGACTGCACGCACAGGCTCCGCAACATCCTCTTCATCTTCAGCGATCGTGACGCCGCCTCCTCGCACCCGGGTGGCAAGTAATCTAGCTTCCTATGCGCTGGATAAGTGTGACTACAGTCATTATTCGTTGCATCATGAACATTGCTCGACCATTGCAACCCAAGCCCTCTGCCCTATTTCCATATAATATAAATATATATATATATATAATTATAATATATATATATATAGAGATATGTACGCATCTAAGGTAAAGAGCCGCTGAGCCCGAGAAGCCAGGCAAAGGAGCGCAAGCAGCATTACTTGGTAAAGGATCGTGCCTATGGCTACTTGTGTGTCCTTTGTGGAAACAGTGCGATGGAGACCGGGATCTTGAGAGCCAAGAAGTGCTTCCCTCTACCGGACCTTAGGCCCATGGATGCAAAGCTTGAAGCAGCCTCGCAATCCAGCAAGGCCTCTAGCCCAGGATCTCCCCACCCAAAGCCAACCGAGAGGGAGGTTTCAATGCTTGAGGAGTTAGCATCTTTGCAGAAACAGAAGGCTTTGCTGGAGGAGCTTTTGCAATTGCAGGAACTTGAGGACTTCGAAAAAGCTCTTCAACAGGAAGAGGAGGAGCTACAGCAAGCTTTAAGAAGGTCTGAATTGCAGGCTGAGGAAGATGAGCTGAATCGCAAATGCAGCAGGCCAGCCGATGATGCAGTTGCACCCACAACAGGAACCCCGCCAGCAAAAGCTGCAAGACCTGATGATGAGGCCCCGCCTGCAATCGTGGAGCCAGCCCGAACAAAGCCTGTTGAAGCCAAAGTGGTCCCAACGACTGATTTCGAAGTGCCCCCCCAAGCCATCGTGGAGCCGTCCCAAGCAGAGCCTGTTGAAGCCAAAGTGGTCCCACCCGTGGGCAGCATGGGCAGTGCGGTGTGCTTCTTGATTGCAGTGATAGGCTTTTGTGTTCCACGTGCAGTGTACACCAATATTGGAGTCGGTTGAGAACTTATAGATTGCATGGATTGTGTCTTTAAGGCCCTGATCTCCTCGACACGGTGCCTGACGAGCCGCTGTTTGATATGCCGCCTCCAGAAGCAGTTTCGGAAGGGGTATCTGAGGAGCTGCTAGGGACATGCAAGAGGCTCGAGGTGCCTCCAGTGGCAACGGGTCCAGAGGCACTGCAGGAAGAGGTTGTGCAGCCTTCTAGTGTGTCGATCAGAATCGCTCCGGAGTCTGATGCTGAAGAAGGGGAGGAAGAGCTCATGGAACATGATGTGCTGATCGATGTCAATACAGAAGGGAAGCTGGAAGCTGACAAGGTTCCTGAAGGGCATGAGGACACAAAGCCCCCAAGCCCGAGCAAAGCCACTGTCTTTTATGACAAGCACATGCCTCCTTGCCCGATTGAGGTGGATCACAAGCCAGCAACCCCCGCAGAGCAGCGACTGGCTGTGAGTGCTCCTGGAAATGGCCGAGGTAGAGGCCGTGGTGGCCGAGGCTCGAAGGTTCCCGTGACAGAGGGAACGGGTAGGGGCCGAAGCCGTGGTGCTGGGCGGGGCCGTGGAGGCCGTGGCCGGGGTTTGAAGGTTCAAGCAACAGAGGATGAAGAGGAGGAGGAGTGTGAGAGTGGGGCAGAGAGTGGGACTGCTTCCGGGGGAGAGATTGAGCCTGAGCCCAAGGCTGCTTCCAAGGCCGGGCGGCCTAAGGGTGGGGCGAAGGCGGCCCCGAAAAGGGCGAGCACGCCAAAGTCCAAGGCGGCACCAAAGGACAAAGCGAAGGATCCAGCACCGGAGGTGAAGACCCGTGGCCCAGCCAAGGAGCGCAAAGCGAAGGAGCCAGCACCGGATGTGAAGACCCGTGGCCCAGCCAAGAAACGCAAAGCGGAGGATCCAGCACCCGAGGTGAAGGTTCCCAGTGGCCCAGCCAAGAAGGGTGGAGGAAAGGCCCCAGCACCGAAAGCAGTTCCCAAAGCCAAGGGCAAAGCGAGTGCAAAACCAAGTGCTAGCAAGCCGAACAATGCTGCAGATGATGCTGAGGCAGAGAAGAAAGCACAGAAATCACGCAAGTCTGTAGCATATCATCGTGCTGCCAAGCTAGCCAAAGAAGCGGGAAAGTCAGAGGAGGAATGCAAAGAAGCAGGGAAGCGGGCTCCTAGTCTACATCGATTTTTCTTAGGTGTGTGTGTGTGTGTGTGTTGT